TCTTGTTCATGGAGCACAAGCCAAGCGAGGGGAAAGGTGGAATTATAAGAACCTGCATCCATTGCAGCTCTTTTCAAAAAGCACCACGTTTCTGGCAAATGTTGATGCGTTACCGAGCGTCGGCCTGTGGACTGAGGGGTCCCGGGTTCGATTCTGGTCAGGGGCATGTGCCTGGGTTGCGGGCACATCCCCAGTGGGAGATGTGCAGGAGGCGGCTGATGGATGTTTCTCTCTCATCAATGTTTCTGGCTCTCTATCTCTCTCCCTTCCTCTCTGTAAAAAATCGATAAAATATATTAAAAAAAAAAAGCACTATGTTTCTGGCAAATTTTGATGCGTTACCTATTCTTAGTAACTTCCCCATTAATTGTCATCTGTGGTATTTTGTTCAGTGAATGGCTTTATCGGCTCAATGAAAGGCTTGGAGGATGGATGTACAAGACACATGTGCTTGAATGGAGGGTTTGTGTGGGAGGAGACTTGGGGTCTGGGCTGGCCTTGCTGGGTGATGCCAGATGGTAGAATGCCAAACGAAGGGGCGCTGAGGGATTTTGTTTGGTAGCCTCTAAGTTGAGAGGTCAAATCGGTTTTATCTCACATGCCAACTCCAATGGACTGGCACTGCATGGAGAAGGCCTATGAGCTACACCTAGTCTCAGCTGAAGATGCTGATTGATGAGTGATGTCTGCTCTAGGGACAGGGCTGCCGCGCGGTGGAATGAGTGCCAGGCCTTTACCATCCCGGTGCGGAAGGTTCTAGAGTGGGCGAGGCTATGAGAGTCCGGGTGGTAAAGTTGGGCTGGGCCAGCACTAACCTGGGAGACAGCAGAGCTACTAGTAGTTCGAGTTTTGTCACCATCCAGTTGTATGTCACGGCCACGCACGTCCCCTCTCTGAGCCTGAATTTCTATAGATAAGAAATGAGGAAGAATGGATACGAACATTCCCAAGCGCTCCCCAGTTTTAGAGAAAGAGCTGTGATTTTCACGATTGGTGGGGTGGAAACAGGACAGGTTTCTCTGAGCCTTTCAGACTCATACAGTGGCTACAGTGGAAGGCAAGAACAAGTAAAGTGGGGAAGCCACCCTGCTCTGTGTCAGGGTACTGGCCTGAGCCGCTGCTGACATCATTCTGTCTTGGGGGCAACACCCATTGGCACTGAGCTTGTCCTCAGCCTGACAGCTCTGAGGCCCGAAGCCCCGTGCAACCCTTGGCGACAGTCAGAGTAGAGAGGGCTGCACTGGAAGGGCCCGTTGTCCCACCCTCCCCCATGGCTCCTGTCGCTCCTGTGGCCACACTCTGGTCAGCGTGCTCAGCCCTTCGTGGCGATGCAGGGCCATGTGGGATTGTGAGCAGCGCTGGCCTGCTGGCCTGCAGAGAGCATCCCCGAGGGTCCTGCCGATGGTGTTCCCGTAGCTGCCTCAGGGCTACAGGTGGCTACAGTGCCTGGGAGTCACCGACTTTATCTCCAGGTGAGGCCAAGGGTCCAGGATGAGGTACCCAGAGCCAATTGCCATCCATAAATGAGTGGGCCGTGGCCGGAGGGACATTTCTGGCTGGTGGTCAGGTCAGGTTATCAGTTTCCTTCATTTTGATATTTGTAGGGGACTGAGACACCCCCACCCTCCACCCCCTTCCAACAGTTGTTGCCAGTGTGCAAGCCACAGACTGCAGAGCAAAGCTAGGACCAGCGGTTCCTACCAGCCCCACTTGCCACGTCTTCGGCTTGGGGTGAGCATTTCAGTCGCATCTTCTCGCTGAATTCCTGTGACCACTGAGTTTACAGTAGATGCTGTGAATGTCCCCATTTGCCGATGAGGAAACCACTCAGGTTGCAGTTACTTTCCAAGGTCACGGGGCTTCATAGACAATAAGTAAAAGCAAGGAGGTCAAGGGTGCCCACAGCTGCAGAGAATCACTGTGAACGTGTTCAGACTTTTCCAGGTGTCTGTCTCTCCATCTGTGCATTTTTTGTGTGTACACACACACACACACACATGCACTTTTTTTACAAAATGGAGCCCTATTCTAGCTAGAGGCTCTTTTTTGGTGCAGGATCTTGATGTGAACACCTTTCTGTGCCATAAATGAACTTTATGCCAATATCTTTTATCAGTGGCATCTTCTATGTGTGCAGGACAGCACTAGCGCTGGGGAGAAGACCAGCCTTCAGACACCACAGCTAACTCCGCAGGACAGTGTATGAGTCCCTTCATTCACTTCGCACATATTACTGAGCCCGGTCACGTGCCAGGCGCTCTGACAGCCACTGTGCCAGGCGCTGTGGCTGCGGCGGGGACTCTGTCCACTGTCCAAGGAAGAGCCAGGGACCCTCCTCGACGCCTCCGTTCCCCTGCTCCCTGCTGCCCATAGGCGTCACCGCTTATTTATTGACTTACTTTTACTGTGGGAAATGCACACACCGTCAGATTTACCATGCTAAAATGTACGGCTCAACAGCATTAAGTACATTCACACTGTTGTGCAACCAGCACCACCATCCGTCTCCAGAACTTTTTCACCTTCCCAGACTGACACTCTGTCCCAGGGGTGGGCAAACTTTTTGACTCGAGGGCCACAATGGGTTCTTAAACTGGACCGGAGGGCCGGAACAAAAGCGTGGATGGAGTGTTTGTGTGAACTAATATAAATTCAAAGTAAACATCATTACATAAAAGGGTACAGTCTTTTTTTTTTTTTAGTTTTATTCATTTCAAACGGGCCGTAGTTTGCCCACGGCTGCTCTGTCCCCATGAAATGCTAACTCTCCCGCCCCTCCCCCCGCCCCAGGCCACCAACCCCTACTGTCTGTCTGTGAGTTTGACTCCTTGGGGGCCCCCTGTGAGTGGAATCAAACAGTATTTGTCCTTCGTGTCTTGCTTATTTCACTAGGGCACTGCCCTCGAGGCTTATGCATGTTGTGCACGTCATAGGCAACCCGTCAGCTTCCTTAAAGTCTCGTGTCTGTCCTCCCTCGTCACCCTCTGCCACCGCCTGCGCAGGATGCCACCTCGCTCCTGGGCCATTGTGGAAAGAACGAACTGGTCCCCCAGCCTCAAGTCCTGCCCTTGCCCCGTGCATGTCCACACCACTTCCGAAGTGATTTTGCCGTTCTCTTTTTAAGTTTCAGATTAGATTTTAAAACGTATTAAAGTGATACATGTGCATGGTCATCGAAAACTCACCCAATATGAAAGCGCATAAAATGAAAAGACGCACCCCTTTCTATTCCACTTTTGTGGCTGTGCAGCAGGTTTAACCCCTGCTTGGCTTGCACTCATGCGTCCATGCACTGCAGTTCGTCAGCAAGCCCCGTCTGGTGGGACACCCAAGTTGCTTCTGACGTGTTAGTGTTTAGGGCTGGGTGCACCCTTGGCCATGAATCTTGGCCCACGTCCGGGTCTGTTCCAAATGAGCCAGCAGACTCCTCACCAGGCTGCCCGGCTGCATGCTTATGGGTGTCTTGGACTCCAGCCTCCGCTGCAGCTCCTGATCAGCCAGATGCAGCGAAGCCCAGAGCAGCGGGTCAGTTCCAAACTGGCCCAGGGCCTGGGGTTCGGCGTCAGAGCATGGGAAGCGCCTTCGCTGCCTGGGAGGCCCGGGACTGTTCTCTGGGGCCCTGTATTTCGTGCAGCTGTCAGCTTTGGGGTTTGCCCAGGATTTGTCGCTCACACAGCTGAGCTGGCCCTGATGAAGTGACCTTGTCAAATGGGGGTAAAGCGTGTGCTCCCCCATATCCCCACACAGCCATACAGGCAGAGGGCCAGCTCAGGCGCATGGTCCACCTGGGGCTCTGACCCAGAGCTTCTCACAAGGTCTGGGATGTCCACTGCCACTCAGGTGACACATACCTTCACCTCTGGCTGCTTCTGTTCTGTCTTGGCTGAGGCTGGACAGTGCCCATGGAAGGTTATCGCTGGGTTTATTCTGGGAGAGGTGCTTGGGGAGGAATGGTAGCCCTGGGCTGCACAGGGAGCATCAGCTGGGCATTCATTCACTTCCTCGTTCTTTCATCCCTTCTTTTCTTCCTTCACTCATGGTCATCCCACAGCCTCTGGGCATTGACTCAGCTGTCAGACACTACGTTCTATATATCGGGGGCCTTGGCCCCTCCCAAGCCATCTCTGGGTGTCACTGTGTGAAACAGAACCCAGCCCGACAGGCCACTGGATGGACCTCCGTATTCCCCAAGCAAAGATTGTCTACAACAGGGGCAAGCCCGCGTCTGGCTCCCTGTCCTGCCTCTGTCTCCACTCCCCAGGGCATCGAGAGACAGCTCACAGGAGCCCTCCCAGCGCCCCTCCCAGGTGCTTGACAACGTGGCCTGGAGGGGCAGCCTCCCGGCCCCCCAGGACTGTAGCCCCTCGTTGCTTCAGAGTTTTCCCACCATGGGCTTCCCAGCTGCCATGCCTGCCCTCAGCCTCCTCCCTCCCAGCCCTGCCCTCCCTCAGCCCCTCTCCTCCAGGCGGCTCCTCCTCCTGCCTGGCGGAAAGGCTGTGTGAGCAGGGCCTGCAACAGCTGAGGCTAAGCCCTGCTGTGCTCTTGGCCCTGAGCACTAAGCCTGATGCAATGCCTGGCAGGGCCTGTCCCTTATCAGAGCTCCATTCACAGCAGACACACACCCAGCTTCCCCAGGAGGAGCCACGGGTGGGCTGCAGTCCCGCTGGGGCCTCCTTGGAAGGCCCAGGGAAGCCAGGGCCTGGCTGGGAGCCATCTGAGTAGAAGACTGTTGCCTATGAGGGCCCCTGGCCCGGCCCGAGAAAGACCTGAGCAGAAAGGTCCCCTGAGGGGAGCACAGGTAGGGATGCCTGTGTTTAGAGTTTGGGGCCTCTGCTCCCAGCCCACTTCCTCCCTGGCTCCCTCACTCTGATTGGCCTGGGTGCCCTTGGCTGGGTTCTGTTCTCCCCATCATTAGCACACAGCTGCAGGGGCTTGAACGGAAAGCCCCAAAGTGTAGCTTCTTCAGCCTCAAAACGGCATCCAGATTGAGAAGGGAATCCAAGAGACTGATGTCTGTGAAGCGTGAAGTTTTGACACTCAGCACACACCCATAGTGTACGCCTATAGAACACACTCAGCGCGTGCTTCTAGTGCACACTGAGACACACATTCACAGCACATGCCCATGGTTCACACGCAGGCATATACTCGCAGTACATGCCACACACATCGCACACGCACGGCTCCTCATATAGGGAGCGCCTGCTTTTCTTCTTCATATTTCCCAGGAATTCAGAATGATTAAGCACCTCACACTGGGCTGAATGCTTTGGGGAAGACATTCTTCCGTTCATCCACAGGGACTGTGGCACACTTGCTGCCTGCCCAGCACACAGACGGGCACTGGGATACGGGCGTGGACTACCAAGGCAGAGCCGAGATGACGCTGCCGTTCCCAGGACACCCAGGTGGCCAGAATAGGCAGTAAGCAAGCGCATTGCGACAAGAAGGCAATAAAGCTGGAGGCTGAGGGGGAAAGTGATGGGGCAGGGGAGGTGGTCAGCGGTAGGTTGGTGGTCAGGGAGGGGGTCGGGGGAGGGGACATTTCAGTGGAGCCCCGGGTGTAAGTGGGCTGAGGGTGGCTGTCCCAGCACCTCTCTGCATCCAGGCAGGGCTGGGCTGGCCCTTGCCCCCGACCTCCTCACCATTGGCCCAGGTGCCCTGGAAATGTGACCTCGGCTGGCATCCTGGCCAGGGGATGCCACGTTTCCTTTGGCAGTCACACCACTGCTGGGCACCACTGGTTTGGGGAGAGAGGGAGCATGACAGTTTGTCCTGTGTCACCAACGTCACAGGCTCACTCCTAGCAGAGGGCTTCCTGCAGGGCAGGTTCTGCCTGGAGCTTGGCCCGGTGACCCTGTCCTCCTTGCTCGTGACTCTGTGACCTCCTGACATCTGTGACCCTCTCCTACCTCCTGGGTCTGGGGCTCCCACATTCCCCCTGGGCCTCTAAATCTCCCTCCTCTGCTGCCCATCACCCCACCCACATGCCGTCTGGGCCAACAGCCTGCCTGGTGTTTCACGTCCGAGTATTCACCCATGCTTGTCCTTTTAGGGCAATGCCTGAGATTTCTCAGGAACCTGACTTATTCGGGTGGCGGGGGGGGGGGGGGGGGTGAGGCTGGGATGGCAACTCAAACAGGAACAGTGCCCGGAAGGGAGGGGAGGAGAGATTCAGGAGCTTTGTCTTCAAGGCCACCCAACTCCTAAATCCTATCGAAGATGTCAGACTCAGAAGGGAGAAGACAGAAGCAACTCCCGTCCACCCCTCCCTTTGCTTCCCTCTCTAGTAGTTATTGAGCACCTACCACGCACCAGACACTGTTCCTCACAGCAACCTGATGCCGTAGGTACTGCCCTTTTCATGCTACAGGTGAAGAAACTGAGGCCCAGAGAGGTTAAGTCACTTATACAGGGTCACACAGCATGGTAGACACCCAGGGAGGACTGGAACCCAGGACTTCTGGTTTTAGTTACTTCTGCTTCCCCATCAGGCCCAGGCAACTCTCAGCCAAGAGCTAGGAGGCAGAAAGTCAGGATTTCAATGCCTGCGCCCTGCAGACTCAATGTTGGGCCTCCCCCTCTCAGTAGGACAGGCAGCCTCGCATGCACCTGCGGCTAAACAGGGTGCATGGGAACGTGGTCCTGCCAGTCATTCTGCAAACATGCCGACAGCCGGCCAGGCACCAGCTGTGACGGGTTCACTCACCACAGATTTGTTGGGCAGCTGGTATGTGCCGGGCGCCATTCTAGATGCTAATTCTGACTTCAGGGAGCTTGTAGTCTGGGAAAGAGAGACAGCCAGCCATCAGCTGGAAAGCCCTCCCATATGTGCTGCAGTGGTGGGGGGCGGGGGAGGGGGCTGGGAGCATTAAGAGGCTTGAATGACCTGCATCTGGCCTGAGTGATCAGGCCACTGCTGGAGGAACCTTGGGCCAGTTACTTAACCTTTCTCATCCTCCGTTTCCTCATCCGTACTGTGACTTTTGTGAGGACTTCATGCGGAAATGCAAATCAAGTGCTTAGCATGGTACCTGACACAGACTAGTAAGCATTCAATAGACTTGAGGTACCCACAGCACTCCAGTTCACCCTCCCAACCAGAGTGCAAGCCCCATGAGGGCATGGGCCGGGTCTGCCTGCTCACTGCTGGATCCCAGTGCTGAGACCTGAGGCTGGCACGCAGTAGGTGCTCAGGAAATATTTGTTTAATGAGTGCATGGGGAAAGGCCCAGAAGAATTGGGAATGTTCTAGTTGCCCTGGGGCTGTCCCTGCAGCCCTCTTCCCACCTGGGCCCCTCTCCACCTCCCCACACTCAGGAAGCACCCCTATTCCCTCATCAGGGAGAGCTGCCTGCCGCCCCACAACCACTCTGCCCTGCACAGCTGGGGACTTCCATTCAGCTGCCAGGGTACACATCTCCCATGCAGAACCCACCTCACTGCTCCCCGCAAGGCCAGATTTCCTGCTGTCCCTGTGTGACTAGAGGGCAGCCCCAGGATTCACTTCCCTGCTCCCCCAGCCCCCATGTCAATACCAGCTGCTTCCCTGGGGGAAACCAGTCTTTTTCAGATGGAGGGATGGTCCTGGGTGCCCAGCACAAGGTCACAGTAAGATTTTTCCATACTTGGAGCAGACTGTCTCCTGTGGATGAGGGTCCTTATGGAGAAAGGGGCGGACTATCAGAACGGGGCGCTGTGCTGGAATCTGGGGCTCATGGTGCAAGACAGGTGGGTGACAGGAAAAATGAAAGAAATGGTGATTCAGCTCCACTGGGCAATTCTGTGTTTGCTCCAGCTTTAAAAATATACATGCCTTCTACTGAAGGTCATTTATTCCTGTATCCCTCTGTCATTCAGCAGCTGTGCACCAGTGTCTCCTGTGTTCCGGGCCCAGGGCTAAGGGATAATGAAAGACAAACTTCCCGTCCTCCGTGAAGGGATGGTCAGCACTGAACAAGCTATTACAAGGGCGGCTGCTTTATGACAAAGTCTCAGGTACTTTGGACTCTGGGAGTCTTTGTATAGTGGTGGGGCGGGGAGTCCTAACATGTCCCAAGGGAGGCTGCCCCAGGAAGATGATACCTGAAGGCCATGCCCATGAGAGGGATTTTGTTAGAATTCATGTGTTATGGTTAATTTTTAAAAATTAACACATTGTAGCCCTGGCCGGGTTGCTCAGTAGGTTGGAGTGTCATCCCGTACACGAAAAGATTGCAGGTTGAATTCCCAGTGAGAGCACCTACCCAGGTTACAGGTTCGATCCCCGGTCAGCATGCACATGAGCAGCAACTGATCCATGTTTCTCTCTCCCTCTTCCTCTGTCTCTAAAAAAAAAAATCAATCAAAACATATCCTTGAGTGAAGACTTTAAAAAAAACAAACACATGGTAAATTTTCTAACTGTGCACAGTGTTATATCACAAACTTAAGACTCACCCACCCTTCTCTCCTGACCTCCCCAGCTCTTTGTTATGAGGCCTTGTGTATCCCCGTAGCCAAAGTCTATTTGTATTCAGCATCTATATTTTTCTCTCTCTGAAAAATGTTTTTTTCAAATGGGATTATACTACATCAGAGGAGCTAACCTGGGAGGTTCTCCCCCTGCCCAAGGGGCAGCTGGCAAAGTCTGGAGACATTTGTGATTGTCACATCGGAGCAGAGAGGATGCTGCTGGCATCTAATGAGTAGAGGCCAAGGATGCTGTTAAACATCCTACAATACACAAGACAGCTCCCACAATGGAGACTCATGTGGCCCAAAATATCAGTAGTGCTGAGGTTAAGAAACCCTGTTCTATATAAGCACATTGTGTCTGCAGCTTGCTATATACATAAAATTGCAATAGATAGATAGATAGATGGTAGAGTATTCACATCAGCATTTGTAAATCCTCCCCCATCATTTTTATTTAGGCGTCTGCAGTCTTCTGCTATTGCAAACATTTGTACTATACGGATTGTCCTTTTCCATATACTTGCCCTTGAGTCATGTGTGAGGTCAAAGGATAAATTGATGGAGGTGGCGTGGATGAGTCAGAGGGTTCATTAGCATTTAAGTGACCTGATTTCAAGTCTCTTTGGGAAGGAGTCCATTAGGACAGGGCTTCCGGGGTTCTGGCTGCTAAGCAGGACCAGGATCCTCAGAAGCCTGGTGGCAAAGCTCTCTTCATTCTCATCTGCAGACGAGGGTGTCCTGACAGCCTGTCTCTCCACAGGACGAGGGTGTCCCCCACCTGAAGACAAGGAGCCAGGCCCTGAGTGATGCCCCGGAGCCGAGTGCCCACGGCCCCACCCTTCCCCATGGAGAAAGGACTTGCTTTGCCCCAGGACTGCCGGGACTTTCTGCACAGTCTGAGAATGAGGAGCAAATATGCCCTTTTCCTGGCTTTTGTGGTGGTGGTTTTTGTCTTTATTGAAAAGGAAAATAAAATCATATCGAGGTGAGGGATGCAAGCACAGTCTTCTTATCAAGGCGGGTCGGGGAGAGGCTGCTTAGGCACCTGTAGGCAATCCTTCCACCCGTGATCACCAGGCCTCCTGTGCCCAGCAGTGGGCCAGGCACAGGTCCTCAGTGGTGAGCTCTGGGCTCTGGACACAGGCAACCTAGGTTGGAACGCTCATTCTGGCCCTTTCTAGCTGTGACACTTGGACACATGATTTCACTTTTCTGTCTTTAAGTTCCTCTTCTCTGAAACATGGCTAATGGTGGGGCCTACCTTACTGTAAAGATTAAATGAAAAAATGTAGTGCCTGGCACATAGTTGGTGTCCAGTACTTGCTGGCTGTGGTTTATTATTGTTAATTAACTTCCTGGCCTAGGATGATGCCTCAAATGAACAGCCCATCCCCTATACCAATCTGAAGTCATGGGTGTGGGTGAGCCCACGGAGAGGCAGGGCCCTGATATGGATACCCTGGCAAGCAGGGATGCATGTGTAGCTGCCCAGGTTGTATATTGCTCAACTCCAGGACAGTGCACTCACATAGGCTACACTGGGAATGCTGCCCCCTAGAGTTCTCAGTGTATGGCTGCATGCAGGGTCCCTGCTAGTGAGCCTGCCAGACATAGATTGCTTAGTCCAGTGATGGTGAACCTATGACATGCGTGTCAGAGGTGACACGTGAACTCATTTTTTTGGTTGATTTTTTTTGTTAAATGGCATTTAAATATATAAAATAAATATCAAAAATATAAATCTTTGTTTTACTATGGTTGCAAATATTAAAAAATTTCTATATGTGACACAGCACCAGAGTTAAGTTAGGGTTTTTCAAAATGCTGACACGCCGAGCTCAAAAGGTTCGCCATCACTGGCTTAGTTAGTGGTTCTCAACCTTCCTAATGCCGGGACCCTTTAATACAGTTCCTCATGTTGTGGTGACCCCCAATTTCATTGTTACAAATTGAACATAATTAAAGCATAGTGATTAATCACAAAACAATATGTAATTATATATGTGTTTTCCGATGGTCTTAGGCGACCCCTGTGAAAGGGTCGTTCGACCCCCAAAGGGTCGCGACCCACAGGTTGAGAACCGCTGCTTTAGATGCTTCCCCAGGCACAACCCCTGCAAGAAAACATCAACCAAGATGGGTAGGGACTGGGCTGTCAGTGCCCTGCCGGTGTTCCTCCACATGGACCGTTCCAGTTCCTGCCTACAGGGCCTACTGCAAGCCCCTGCCACTCTTGCCTGGGGGCTCCTCACTCCCCCTGCACACTGGCAAGGCACAAGTACCACGAGGAAAGGCCTCGGCCAAGGCGGGCAGGGAGCTTCGCCCCTTGGGAGAGAGAACCCTGAGGTGTGTTCCTTGTCTCCCAGGGCCCCCCAGTCAGAGTGATTTGCCCACAGGAGTAGCCTGCGCATCTTGTATGGACTTATTTTCCTCCTGGCTTCACTTCCCTACCCCTCTACCAGTCTGTCCTGTAACCGTGTCCCAAATCAACTACTTACCCTCCAATCCTGGCCTCAAAGTCAGCTTCGGGGAAACCCCAGCTAAGACAGGCTTTGGGTGGTCAGCCTGGGAGGCTACACAGGGGATGGAGGCCCCCGTCAGTTACTGAGTGTGGTCTCCCTTTGTCCTCACAGGGTCTCGGACAAGCTGAAGCAGATCCCCCAGTCCCTGGCAGATGCCAACAGCACGGACCCAGCCCTGGTCTTGGCCGAGAACGCATCCCTCTTGTCCCTGAGCGAGCTGGATTCAGCCTTCACGCAGCTGCAGAGCCGCCTGCGAAACTTCAGTCTGCAGCTGGGCTTGCAGCCAGCGGAGGAGGAGGAGGAGGAGACCAAGAGGGAAGAGGAGGAGGCTGCGGAGGAGGAACAGGGGGAGCAGCCACCGGACCCCGCCGAGGCCCGCCGCCGGCGCCACGTGCTCCTCATGGCCACCACCCGCACCGGCTCCTCTTTCGTGGGCGAGTTCTTCAACCAGCAGGGCAACATCTTCTACCTCTTCGAGCCGCTGTGGCACATCGAGCGCACGGTGTCCTTCGAGCCGGGAGGCGCCAGCGCGGCGGGCTCGGCCCTGGTCTACCGGGACGTGCTCAAGCAGCTCTTCCTGTGCGACCTGTACGTGCTGGAGCACTTCATCAGCCCGCTGCCCGAGGACCACCTGACGCACGGCATGTTCCGCCGCGGCTCCAGCCGCTCCCTGTGCGAGGACCCGGTGTGCACGCCCTTCGTCAAGAAGGTCTTCGAGAAGTACCACTGCAAGAACCGCCGCTGCGGGCCCCTCAACGTGACGCTGGCCGCCGAGGCCTGCCGCCGCAAGGAGCACATGGCGCTCAAGGCCGTGCGCATCCGCCAGCTGGAGTTCCTGCAGCCGCTGGCCGAGGACCCGCGCCTGGACCTGCGCGTCATCCAGCTGGTGCGCGACCCCCGCGCCGTGCTGGCCTCGCGCATGGTGGCCTTCGCGGGCAAGTACGAGACCTGGAAGAAGTGGCTGGCCGAGGGGCAGGACCGGCTGCGCGAGGAGGAGGTGCAGCGGCTGCGGGGCAACTGCGAGAGCATCCGCGTGTCGGCGGAGCTGGGCCTGCGGCAGCCCGCCTGGCTGCGCGGCCGCTACATGCTCGTGCGCTACGAGGACGTGGCCCGCCGGCCGCTGCAGAAGGCGCGCGACATGTACCGCTTCGCGGGCATCCCGCTCACCCCGCAGGTGGAGGACTGGATCCAGAAGAACACGCAGGCGCCCCGCGACGGCAGCGGCATCTACTCCACGCAGAAGAACTCCTCGGAGCAGTTCGAGAAGTGGCGCTTCAGCATGCCCTTCAAGCTGGCGCAGGTGGTGCAGGACGCCTGCGGCCCCGCCATGCGCCTCTTCGGCTACAAGCTGGCCCGGGACGCCGCCTCGCTCACCAACCGCTCGGTCAGCCTGCTGGAGGAGCGCGGCACCTTCTGGGTCACGTAGGGGGCCTGGGGCCTCCGCACCCTCCTCGTGAAAGTCCCGCCCTGCCTTCCTCAACCCAGGTCAGCCGCGACCGACCTACTGGAGCCGGAGCGCTCGGCTCGCTCGCAGAGGCTGGTGGGAGGCCGCGCAGGGAGCAGGCCGGCTCTGCGGTAGAAGCTGCTCCCAGCAGCCAGCTTCCCCAGCGGCTGTGGGCTGGGGCTGGGGCTGCTGCCGAGAACAGGACGGTGCCCTGCCCCCGTGCGGGCCATCAACCCAGACCTGAGGGGCAGGCTCTCGCCTATTGACAGTCTCTCTCTCTCTCTCTCTCTCTCTCTCTTACACTCATACACACAGAAACATACATGAAGCACACATAAATGCCTGTACCCTGTGGGCCAGACCACAGCCCCACAGTCTGGATTTCTACAATCCAGCGTGGATTCGGGTGGTCCCCAGGGAGGGACAGCCCAGGCCCTGGGGTTAGAGGATGGCAGCTGAGGCTTCCCCATTCAGTGTTTCCATAAATGGGCCACCTGTGCCGGTTAACGATGGAGTCAGCTCTGTGACGAGCTACAACACACGTATAAAGACAATACCCGCGGGCACAGGGCACAGCACACAGCACACACTGGGAAACAGAAACAATTCTGCACACACACATGAAAACAAACGGACAAGCTTTCCCTTTGCTCTACGCCCACAGGCTTGGTAGGGCTCATCTGCATCACACACCAGTTTGGGAGCTGGGGAAGGAAACGTGGTCATGGCCGTGACCTTGTTTCCTGACTGGATTTGGGATGAATGGGACAACAGAAGTGCGGAGTCTACGGCCCCTGCTCACCTTGGAGTCTCGGGGCCCATTCACGTCCTTGCTGCTGGCAGGCAGGACGTTTTGAAATGGTCGACCCTCATGTGACTGCAGCCCAAAGTTCCCATCCCTTCCCATCCCAGCTCTGCTCATGTCCTGGGGCATGTCTGTGTCTGAAGGCTGCCTCAGGCCTGACTGGCAGAAGCAGCTGGGGTCCCGGGAAGCAAAAGGAACTCATGGTCCTGCCCCCTCCAGCCAGGCCTCTGGGGGGCAGGGCCCAGTGACAGTGCAGAGTGCTCTCGGAGGAGAAGTCACATCAGGATAGCCCCTCCTGAGAAGACAGGGGACAGCGGTCAGCGGTCAGCCTCCTGCTGGTCGCCATGATTGCATGGCTGGTGTCTGAAATTCCTCCTTTAGGGTTCTGGGAAGAGTGTTGCTTAACAGGATGGACCGGGTATTTGTTTTCTGGTGTGTGTGTGTGTGTGTGTGTGTGTGTGTTGTTTTTAAGATATTTATGGTTTGGTGTCTTGTTTTGTGGACAGGCTATGTTTTTGTTTCTGCAGAAGTGCCTCTTGGAAGCGGTCTGTGCTTGAGGGGCTGAAGGGCTCTGGGAGGACCCGTGGGAAGCACTCTGGTGCTTGCTGGAGGGAGAGGAGGAGGAGGAAGAGCCTCCTCCAAGGATCAGAGCTTAGGTGGCCACTGACCCGGAGTGCCCTTCGGGCTTTTCTGAAACGAATCTCAGAAACCACCAGCATTCTTCGCTGCATGTCCAGAAGCAGCATAAATTAGCAGCCCTCAGCCCAGGCCCAATCACACTTCCGGGGGGGCAGGCCCTATGACCAAGCAGCAAATGTCCCCAAAATAGACACCTTCCCCCACTCCCACCCCAACCCGGGAGCCAAGCTCAGTGCCATCTAAGAACATGCAGGAAGCTGTAACCTCACTAAGGGCTGTTTCTGATTTCCTGGACAACCTCTGTCCAGTCCATCCCATTGTCAAGCCCAGAGGGCTGAGTTTTCCTTGAGTAATAGGGACATGAGGGAAAGACAGGATCTGCGTCCAGCTGGGGCTGCTGTGGGGAAGGGAGGGGTGTGTCCTGCTGGAAACTGCCGTTTGAAAAGGTGAGGATGGTAGCCATCTTATGGGGTCCCTTATAACCACCGGATCTGAGCTGCCGGGCACGCATCACCATGGACTTCAGCCACTCGAGGAGGTCTCCACTCCAGGCTTTCCAGTCCAAGGATAAGTCATGCAGGGATCTGGCTCTAATTTGGGGTCCAAAGCGACTCCAGCTCTGAAAACTTGACCCTGGGACAGCGTGGGGCCAGGATTTTTCTGGCAGGCCCAGAAGGGCTGGTGGTGCTTCCCCAGCCCCTGTCCTGCCCCCCACACTGTTCCCCACCTGGGGGTGGTGGGGGCAGGCTCCTCTCTCCAGGGTCCTTCCTGGGCCCTCCTGGTGTGGACAGCAGACTTCTCCTTCCTTCTTATGTCCGGGGCCAAGGCCCCCACCCCTAAGCTCTGAGGACTGTGCCGAGTGGACCTTTGGGACGTCTCAGGACATTGACAATTTGTACACAGCAAGTTGACTTATTTATTTTGTGAAAACGAAGTGACAGAAAATACCTTCTTGTGTGCAGGGACTCAAAGCTGTACCCAAATCAAGAGAGACAAACTAGTAATAATAAGAACTCTTCACTCATCCACACACAAGGACAATCCAAGACGATTCAGAATGCAGGAGGCAACTACACCAAGGCCACAGGAGTCAAGACAGCCCAGGCTTTTGTTTAAGGAGATTCCTTGGTTTCCTCTTGCAGATTTGAGGATGCGACAGTAAGGCCCTTTCTGCTGTACGACCTTTGCCCAGGTGCCTGGAACAGGACACAACTCCAGTCAGTGTTGCCTTGGGGCTCTGGGAACCCTGGGGGTTTGGGGAAGGACAGGGTGGGTGACTTGCCTTTTCATCCGTGGGGCCTGGTTGGGGTCACGTCCCTGGGGTTTTCAGCATGGAACTAGCTGGGGCCGGTGGTCCAGCTGGGGCAGTGCCCTCTTGTCCTGGTTTCTCTGCTTCTGCTGATCCACCAGGAGCCTTCGCTCCACAGCCCCCCTCCACCCCCTGGAGACAGAGGGAGCATTTGAGGCCTCACCTCCAGCTACTGGCTTCCTCAGAACAAGGGCCCATTCAGCAGCGAGCATTTACTCATTTTTTCTCCTTGAAGAAGATCTCTTTAGCCTGGCCTATATAAATAGTTCAGAACATTCCAGGCCTTGGTGAGACAGGGCAGTGTCTAACACCCGCAAGCCATCACCACCACTGCCCGTTCCTGGCTTCTCTGTGCCTGTTTGTAAGCCTTGGAGTGGAGGCAGGCACCGGGGAGTGGACGGTGGGGGCAGGAGTCCTGTGGCCCCAGGGAGCGCTGTCACACCCCCTGCAGGTTATTACCGGGCTCAGGTTGAGAGATGTGACTAAATTCTACCCTTTGTCACTTTATGTGATGCACACACTTGAAAATAAATAACAAACAGAAAAGAGTTTACTCCCTATCTGCCAGCGCCCTCAGCCAGAGGCTGGTCTAACGGGGCAGCTCCTGACCAAACCCCCAAGGACAGAAGACACCCACTCGGCCCATTACAGTGCATCTTTCTCTGCCTTCTCTGCCATCTGTCCGACCAGGGCACCAGTGTCAGCAGAATGTCAGGTCCCTGACCCAGAAGCTGCCTGCTTGGCCTAGACCGCAGACAGGAGATGCAAGCATCGGATGGTCCTGACCCTGAAGGTCTCGTCGGCCCTGGGTGACCCTCTCCCACACGAGGGTCTGTTTTAATGGGTTGTAGGGCCTGTCCCTTAGTAGGCCCTGGATGATGAAGGACAGGAGCAGAAGATTGGGGGGCTGTGTCCCCAAGGCAGTGCCCTCCCACTCCAGTCCCCACAGGCTGGAAGAAGGGTGGGAGCCTGGTCAGGGAGAGCGAAGGGGAGAGAAGGGGAGGAGATGGATCTGTAGCGGCCGAGTGGTCTTGTCGATCTGCACAAACAGAGAGAAGGAGCCTCCACTGCAGTCCAGGGGCCCAGGTGGCTGAGTTGCTTGTGAGGATTCCTAGGATGTGGTCCAGCTGGACGGGAGGGAGGAGGCCCGAGGTGCCCTGAGTGCAGCCACATTGCCTCTCAGCGGTCTCGGCTTCAGGACGAGTCAAAACTGCTCTTTACCTCAGAAGGACGAAGCACAATTGCCAACTTCAGTTTTCTTAAAAGCTTCGAGGTCCTTTGATCTTGTGTCCTTTGTCATTTGATGACTGTGCCCAGGGGACTGATCAGTGACGTGTTTCCATGGTGCCATCCGCGTGAGCCTCGCTCATGTTGTAGCTCAGGTATTTTGCCTGGGAAATGAAATGACCCGTGTACCCTGCTTCCCCTCACCCTGGGCTTGGCCTGGGAACCCGCTGAAGTCTGCATCTCAGCTGTAAATTCTAGGCCAAGTCTGCCCGGCTCCCCTGCTCCCTCCTGGATCCTGCAAACTCTGCCTTTTTGCCAAGACCTCTCCCTGTGTCATGTTTCGAGGCCACATGGTCCAGGACACTCCCTTCATGGCCATGTGAGGCCATGGTGTGTACATAGGTGTCCACGTGTTTGTGTGTGTGCAACATGCAGCTCATTCTGCTCGGCCACATTGCTCCCTGCCCCCTTGCCACCAGGGTCCTTGCCGTGGCTACACACAATCTGCCGTCTCCTGGAAACACAGGAGCCGCCCTGCAGAGCTGGCAGCCAGCGCCGGTCGGGGTCTGCTTTGTGGAAGAGAATGTGAACCCATCACTCGATGGCTTACTTGATTTATTTAATTAAAAATGAAAACATGCAACGAGTAAAATTCCAAGTGTCTCTGCCTTTCTTTTGCATTTGTTCTCAGCAGCAGTCATAAAAATTAACAGGGAAAAAATGAGCAGCTGTAGGAATGGGGTGACTTCGGGCATGGAGCAGGGCAGAGGAAACCCCGCCCCCTCCCGAGGAGTGAAGGACAGGGAAGTGTGGCCGAGGGCCGGGGGCACGAGGAACGTCCTGCATGTCACCAGGACGGCAGAGCCGGGGGTGGCTGTGCTCGCAGCTGGCTCAGGCGTGAGGTCTGAGAGGTAGATTCCCAGGCATCCTGGGGCAGGGGCAGGGGCATTGGCCAGAGGTCAGGGGACTTGGGGACATGTCCCAGCTTTGCCACTATCTGGCCCTGTGCCCTTGGGCAAGTAACTTTCCTTATCTGAGCCCCAGTTTCCTTTAGAATGAGGGTGCCGTCTGTGGTTTACAACCCTTGTTCCAAAAAGCCCTTTAGAGATGAGAAAATCAGCCCTCTCGCCCAGAACAACTGTGTCGATTGGCTGGCACCTGAGATTTCGTTTGGCTAAAAACCCCATCAGGAGATTTCTAAGGCTCTTTCTCACTAAGAAAGTGTAACGGAATCCTTTCAGATGGCAATTGCACTGCTCTGGCAGTCATAACAGTTTTCGTGAGAATTAGATTCCCACCCTTTGGTCTCCGCACAGCCACTGGAGGGAACGGACTGTCCGCAGGGAGAAGGCTCATTCTGGAACACGGAAGGCAGAGCTGGTGGGCCCTATGGATCGGGGGCCTGGGCAAGCCGGGCAGCAGCAACATGAAGGACAGAAGAGCTGAGCCTGGGGACAGTAGTACCTAGAGGAGGGGTGATGACAGGGGAAGGCACGATGTAAGGGAAGGGGACCCTTTCCCAAACCTCAAGCCTGTGTCTGTGCCCTTTCGCCCAGGCCAGGCCTGGGAAACTCACACCAGCTTCCTCCCAGCCTTTAACATATAGGAGTCGGTGCAATGGCGTCCGACCTGAGTGAAAGCTCCACCCCCGGCCCAGCCAGGGGGCACTGCTGTCTCCTCTTTTCTGGGGACTGGGTATATTTAGCTTCTTTTCTGGGTTGTGTTTCCTACCACAAATGGCCCCTGGAGAAACGAATGGCCCTAATCATAGACAGAGCAGCCCAGACACCTCCCCACCCACTCACCCCTCAGCCACCAGCCCAGACCAAAAGCCATCTCTCCCCTCCCCCACTCCCAGACCTCTTGGGGCTCCTCTGCACCCCCAGTTACCCAACCCTGGGAAGGAGCTGAACCCCCCACAGGGTCTCCTGGGAGTGACAGTCAGCTGGTCCCAAAGCAGGAAGCAGTTTGATCACCAGCAGGGGCCTGGGACGCGTGCCACTTGCTCCTGGAGCCCTGCCAGGCAGGCCCAGCCCTGGAGTCTGCAGCACAGAATCTCCGAGCGTGTCTGGCAGAGCCGTGGTCACCTGACCTCTCTTAGGAGGCTGCATGCACATTGGCATGGTCAAGGCTCTGAGAAGTCCTGCTTCCCTGGGACCCAGCTTCCCAGGGTTCACCAGAATCACTGTTATGAGTGGAATTATTTTATCATAAAAACTTTTTTTTTTTTTGGCCAAACAACATTTTTCAAGACTCTGGAATCCTACAGAGCAATTTGGAGCAGCCAGAAACCTGCAAGTATAAGCCTATACCACTAAAAGCCAGAATACGCAGACAGGAAGGTGGTGGGTGACGAGGCTGGGGAGAAAAAGTGCAGAGTTTCAGAGCCCATCCCACCCCAGGCCATTCTCACCGAGCCCCGAGCAGGAGCAGGAGCAGGAGGTGGCCTATGGGACTGTAGCAGACTCGGGGTCACTGTGGGGGGAGTTCACGACCCAAGGCATCCGTCTGCTGTCATAAACCTGCTGGTCCCTGAAACCCTGGGCCCTTGGCTTTCTCAATCACCCACACCTGCAGGGCCTCTGTGACATTCCGCTCAGAGAGGGGGGCCCTGGGGGACCCGGGCCAGGCATAGACCCCACGGGGCACTATTGATCTGAGAAACTGGAGCTCGGGGCACTTCTTAGAGGAGACGTTTCTGAAACAGCTGGACAGAGGTTCCCTACAGTAAACAGCTTCCCTGGAGATGCAATCCGCTAGTCCAGCGGTTCTCAACCTGTGGGTCGCAACCCCTTTGGGGGTCGAACGACCCTTTCACAGGGGTCGCCTAAGACCATCGGAAAACACATATATAATTACATATTGTTTTTGTGATTAATCACTATGCTTTAATTATGTTCACTTTGTAACTATGAAAATACATCCTGCATATCAGATATTTACATTATGATTCATAACAGTAGCAAAATCACAGTTATGAAGTAGCAACGAAAATAATTTTATGGTTGGGGGTCACCACAACATGAGGAACTGTATTAAAGGGCATTAGGAAGGTTGAGAACCACTGCTCTAGTCGCTAGTAAACCCCTTGCTAAACGCTGCTGTGCACTTTAGTGGGAGAACACACAGCCAGTAAAGGCTTCACAGGCAAGGCTTGCCCAGGAAATCAGCATGAGAGAAGGAAGGAAGGAAGGAAGGGAGAGAGGGAGGCAGGGGGCAGGGGAAGTGACAGGAGGGGGCATTCTCATGAGAGGCAGGGGAGGAAGGCAGCCAATTTGCTGAAAGCACCCCCTGACCACAGCCACGCGGTCCAAGAACTTAGGGGACAGGCAGGGTCAGGCCTGGCCCAGGTGCACGCAGCCCCAGTGTGCCCTGTGGGTGTGTGGCCCACGCAGAGTCTGGTTTTGTTTTTAACAATTGGCATTAGAGGCCAACACTTAAAAATTAAGGGGTTTTATATAAAAACCAGATTTCTGCTTCCTCTGGAAAATCGGGTGTCTTGGTTTGAGTTACACCAGAAGCTGATGCTGAGGCAGGGATGAGAGCAAACGGTTTATTTCAGAGCTGCAGACAGCCTGGGGGCGGGGGGGAGTGGGGAAAGCCAGCAGCCCCCCGGGGAGCCAGAGCAGAACCCTCCCTAACGGTATGACGCCATGCCTTGCAGTTACCCAGGGGTGAGGCAAGGGTCCCTGAGTGGGGCTACACCAGCCCTGTCAGTCTTTGACTGAGGGCTGCTCTCAGGGAGCAGTAATTCCTCAGCACCGTCCTGTTGGCACAGCAGCATTCCAGAAATCGGGAAAAGGTGCTGGGCCCCAGGGTGAAATTGCAGGCAGCTGGACGTTTCCCGAGTGAGGTGTGAGGGATGGGAAGGGGTCTGACAGCAGCAGGCCCCTGGGAACAAGAGGTGATGGGTGACAGGGGACCCCCGTGCCCACAGGCACAATGGGCTGCAGCTGGAGGAGGGCAGGCCACCACGTGCCCTCTGGTCTGCCCTAGACTGAGGCAGCATTGATCACAGCACTGGGACTGAGGGTTTGCCTCTGAGACATCTGCTCTGTGAATCCTTGTCCGTCCAAAGTGAGAAACCAACAGGCCAAGAGGCCCACAGCTGCGCCTCCATTCATTACAATAGCGCCCCAGGCTCTCCAAGTGGTTGAGTTTCAAGCCCCCCACCCCCACACCCCCACTCATCCACCCC